CAGACAATCGTATCATTATTTCGACACAATACTCGGGCTGAATGGTTTTAGCACTCAACACAATTGATTTATTCATTACATTAGATTGTATCATTATATAATTTCTGCACTTTTTTCGTGAAATACAAAAAATTATACTACAAAACAAAAAATGTTTAACTACAGCTACAGAATTTTTATAAATTAGATAACAGTGAAAAGTTCTGATTTAAGTGAGTATTACAAGGCAAATGTTAAATTAATATGCAGCTATTTATTGGTAATTTGATGTTATATGATGATATTAATATTTATAAATATGATATTTATAAATATGATGATATTAATGCTTACAGAAAACAAAAAAATATTTACCCGTACTATGCGAAAATGGTTCAAGTTATCATTACACATTATTTAAGTGTATTAATTCTTTGTTATATTTTAATAGGTAAAAAAAGTACACACATTCATTTATAAGTTAGCTGTATAGTATGCCAAGAATCATATTTTATTTAATCGGAAGTTACTAGATAATCTCCTTTAAGTTATTATAGCATTTCATAAATATATAATACTCGTCACCTTTATTTCACTCACTCATATATCAACAATTCCTGTTTATAAGAATGGAGAAAAATAAACATCGCGAGTATCTCTTACTAGAATTCACATAAAAAGTGCGAACAAGAAAATACCGACTGTACCTAACTTGCTTCTGGTGAATATAAAGAAGGCTACTTTATTTATCAGAAATTAAGTACAATCGCTGAACAAATAGATTCAAGCCGTGTCGCGTTATCTTAGTATGTTACAACCATAAACGGGTCAGCGAAAGATAACACCTCAACGACTTAGTACCTAGCTTTATGGGACATATTTATATTTTTAAAATAAGAATTGTATCGAAAATTTACGAGTCTTAACATTCGCCAAAACATTATCTTCGATCATCAGCGGACGCTTTTATAAAGACTACTTTACAGCTAAGCCTGTCACTGTGATGGGGAATTTACCATAGTCACAATTAAAGACGCTGTCAATCGCTGAAACAGGCAAGTTACTCAGAGAGAATGCAATAATCCAACACGTTGCTCTTGGAGCTTATAATATGTCGGTCCAGCTGGCTCATCATTTCCAGTAAAGTCCACGTCTCCTGTTATGGCTATTCACGTTGACAACAAAACAAATAGATAATTGCGTGCTGGTTAAATTCTTAAGAAGATATACGATTATTATAATACAATAATATTTATTATTGATGACTTTCCTCGTTATTCGTTGCAATAACGTGCAAAGCCATGGTTGACACGCTGTGAAACAAATAACACACATTTATTTATAACATGTCTTGCCGAAAGTGCAAAATAAAAATTGTAATATATACGTCTTCCAAAACCTAACAAGAAAGTCCGTTACACTGATATTTCTCAGCTCAGAGTAATTCCTTGCACCTTTAATACAAATTAAAAATGAGTTTAAACTTAATTAATATATAATTTATGTAACTAAAGACATAATTAAATCTTGGAAGATTGGTATACCGAATTATAGACTTTGGTATAACACTCATACAGCATGTTTCCGAAAGTTGAAACCTACCCAATTAATAACAAAAGCCCAATCAGAGTTGTCTTGTACATTCGCAATTAGACGTTTGCGTGAGACTGATTTTCAGCATATTCGGGCTCGCTTATGTATAGGGGCACCTGTAACATAAATCCATGTCCATGTCCAAACATTAATTGCTTTCCCATTCTGATTATTAACTTTCTCAAACTTTCTCCTCTTTTATATGTTATTTGCTTCTTGTTAGTAACTACAAATCCGTGGACGTCTTGGAAGACCAAGAGGGACATTGTTAACACAATAATAACAACTTATTTATAAAAAATTAATGCTTCACTCACGAGATGCGCAAATGAAATTTATTTTAAGCTTAGATGGTAATATAGCGTTCCGTCGTGAGATTTTTATCTAGAACATTTTTTTTATTTATTAAATTTAAGAGTACATTTGTATTAACTGAAAGGATTAGACAAATTAAAGGTAGATATTTCAGGATTTTTAAAAGGCTTCTACTTTCATCGTGGTCAAAGAAAAATACTATTACAGATATAATAATAAATTGAAAAAGAAATCTAACCATACCGAAAGTAAATACGTCCAAAATAAAAAAGCATAATTATGAAGAAAACATTATAAGCTCTAATCTTTCACTCTAATTACTTTTAAAAATTCTAAATTCGCATTTTGATTTTTTTCCATACCTAAATTGTTATTTATATTCGACCATTTATTTTTTCAAATACCACTTGAATTTCTGTGCAATTTTTGTTTCATAACGAAAAAGCGTGTTCATTAAAATTTCAAAAGCTTTCTCTTTTAAATATGTTGTTAAACCATTTCAATTATTTCACGCGAAACTATTTCGTCGTTTGTAAGTATTTTGTCACAGTTTTATATTACATGTTTTAATTTAATTAAGTTTCGTTCTGTTCATATTTAGCCAGAGAGAAGAAAAAAATATTTATCAAATTAAATTACTTTCTATTTAGTAAAATTATTTTCAAAAACTACTTAGAGCAATTGCTGAACTGTATGATTAGTAATCAAATGCAGATGTTTTCCTTACACACGAACTGAAAACATCATGTCAAGCCACAAATAATCGTTTTAGACCGCTGTTTATCAATTTGTGATAAACGTAAAAAATTTATCAGATCCGAGGCCATAAAATGATTTCGTAAATATTAATATATCCATGAGCAATTTACACTTGCGGTACAGTTTAAAATTTATCATTTTATTTATCTATATCAAATGAAATGAGGTAATGGATATAACCGTAAACTAAAATAGCAATGGTAAATAAGCTGACGTGTATTCGCTACGATTGTTTATACATTTGGTTGCATTTCACTGTGTTACGACATATTCACTTGATCCTCCAATTCCGTATTGATTAAATTGTTTTCGTACTATAGACCCATGTTGTTCAGGTTTATAAATTAACCCAAATGACTAAATTGTAGCTAGTCTGATTTTGTCAACTGTATGTATGATCTCATTTTACCAACATACAAACTATTTGTTGATTATATAAATTGTGTCGGTTATTTAGGAATAAAGAATTTCGCTCAACCGTATGTAACACGAACGTGAATGTTACCACAAAAAAACACAGCGAAATTCATCTTTCTTGTATAAAGTTCCTTCATCTATACTTAACCGCTTGGTGGTTCGGTGTAAGTAAATTATCACCGCTATCCATAGGCAAGCAAGTATAGATACTGAATCTCAAGTGGCTGGACACTGAGCTTAGTAGCAGTAAAATTATTTTGGTTAAAATAGTTAATTGCACAAGGATTTCTACGTGTTTTGGAAACGCGACGATTTTTAGCGTCTTGGGTTGCAATTACATTGCGGATTATTGGATCGTGTATCTCCAGGTAGCTCATTCAGGCCTCGTCTTAACGGAACATATAGAATAGCTTAAATCGTTGCACTGACAGCGTAGTACGATAGTCGAATCAGTTCATAATGGGTCGCAAGATTTTCGTAAGGAGACAAACACGACCATTGAAACTTATCCTATGCTGTCTATTCCAGTAGCTTCATGGTCGCAATACGATGACTTCAGATCACTTCAATGAACCAATGTCGCACATCATGAGTTACGTTATGAATAGAGTTTACCTATATTGAGTTTACCCACGAGACGTTTTACGGACTTGTAACCCTATTGTTCTTCTTCTTTGTAAACAAGAGACGGCTGGCATAAAGAATATCACATTTGAGTGGTTTGATAGCTACCTTAAAAATCGGAAATAGTTTGTATGATTCTGCAATCACTTCAGTGTTTAAATTCCCATCGATTACCGCGAACCACAGGGCAGCATCCTTAGCCCTTACCTTTTTTTTTTCTTTTTACTTTAATATCGCACAGACTTGGGAAGGGTAAGTATCTTTGCAATATTTAGACCGCTAAACTTTGACCCTAAACACATCCAATTCAATGGTTATGCCAATTCGATCAAATACTTACAGGATCCATATACTAACAACTGTACCATTACTGACTGGCAATATGATAATTATATCTCATCCTAGGAAAGCTAAAAAGTCTCAAAAACTAGTAAATTAGAAAATATTGAATGATATTTTCGTTATCAGTAACAGATACTCGTAGAACCGTTGGGACAGAAGATTTTACTTGAATGTGAATTTATTTTCTCTATTTTCAAGTAGTATAGCGCCATTACATATTCAAGCAATGCAAATAAAGTTGTCAGTAACGTAACATAATAAAAACGTACTTCTATATATAATAAAAAGGAAAACAGTTAAGTCTTTTAGGATTTTGCAGGTTTAAAATAACCACAGTCTGCAGCATTTCTCTGTGTTTTGTTGCTCTAAATATGCGTGGGCAGCTTAGTGATGAGACAGCGGAATATCGCGATCGATGGTCCCCATTCGGTTATGCAAATATCCCCGGGGCCCGCGGACTTTGCGGATATCGTCGATATGTCCGACGTATTCCCACACTGATCCAGAATAGAGTATCATGCCTGTTTTATATCGATACTCCTATTTGCGGACTCAATCGCGACATTCCCGTATTGGTTTGTTTGGGTGATCTCTATTTGTTTAGTCGGCCCCATTTCGCAATAACGCTGTCACGTAAATATAAACACATTCGGAGTGAATAATGTGTTTTCTATTATTTTTAACCTAGGCCTCCAATAAAATTTATTGCAAGTGAACCATTAAATTTGAATGATTTAAACGTCATTCCATCATCCATGATACAGTTGGGAAAATCATGTTTTAAACTTTCTTAGAAATATCTTTTTCAATTAGCGCTTCTTACTTTCAGAATTTGACCTGTTATTAGAGCTTTTGTGATGTCCCTTTTGCTTTTTGTCTTATTGCTATTCAATTGGAGCTATTAGATCTTTCGTGCTGTATATATCTGATAAAGGGATATATGTGATATACGTCATAAAAGTGCAAAGCTACTTACCCACGACGTGTATGTAAGCGGAGCGGACCTGCGTGTGAAACGAAGGCGCGTCTGCAGAGACCTCGCAGCGGTAGCGGCCTGCGAGGGCGCGTGTGGCATCGCGCAGAACCACTTGCTGCGACGACGACTTCGAAATCTGCAAACAAAATATAGAAATTAAACGAAAACGTTAACAAACATGCGATCACTCTTTCTCACACAACCCTTTAAACACAGATATTTAGAATTTATTACCAGCTCCACAATTCTGCATAGTTATATATTTCAAAACTATTTAAATAGAATACATATAGTTTGATCCATATAGTTAAAATGTCTACCCAGTTGATTTTATAGGTAGTGAACGATAACAGACTTGGGATCACTCTTTCTCACACAACCCTTTGAACTCAGATGTTTAGAATAATATTGCCAGCTCTACAATTCTGAATAATTATATATTTAAAATAGAATGAACAATATAGTTAAAATGTTTTGACTTTATAGGTAGATAGTTGATGAGGACGCTTTGTGGGCGATGGCTTAGAATAAATTTTATCTTTTTAAGTCCACACTAAGAAGCTGTCCATGTAGACATACTCTTGTATTAAATGAATTACAGAATATTGTTAAATTTTCTGAACGCTCATACAATTATAACTTTGTAACTTGACGTATTGGCGAGACAACTCTTTAACAGCTAACAAGGAACATTAAGGGTATTCACACGCTTCACAGACGCAGTGCAACTTTCACAGCTCAGTGCACCTCAAAGCGTCCGTCTGTAATTAAGGCGTGTTTTCTTTTTCTCCATTGCAATGTCCGGCAATACCCTGTGGCCCATTTCCACTTATCGATCCGACATTGGAAAATAAGATCGGTGCCACCCACCACCCGCCCCTCCAACTTGTTTACACTGACCACGCTCTCGGCTCATTTTAATTTCTCACGATATTCGCCCCCGCCTTTTATTATCTTCAGCGACACCAGTTGAGTAACCCTCTATTGCCCTCTTTTATTTAACGATCATTTTTATAACATTATGGAAAACGCTCGCGGGCTTTTATATTGTTCTCGTCCGACTATCGTCGATATTTTTTGCTTCCTTGTTACATTTTGATAATTCCGCTTTTCCGTCGAAAGAAAGCAAACTTCCTCATAGAAGTAGAAATATTTATATATTTCGTACCTACTTATTCTAAATTATTTCTCTGAAACCTTTTTCTATCTGGGTCAAAAATCATTTAGTATTTATTCTTACTCTATTATTTTTGTTCTATTTAGTATTTGCTCTTAAACTATGAACTTGAATACGCTGGCGTAGCAACGGTTGAATTTTATTTTCGTTATAAAAATTAGCAACACTTTTGATGCGCTAGGTAATGTATGTGAACGTATGAAGTTAATAGGTATTGATTTTGATAAAATATTGTAAAGGTTGATAAATGTGATGAAAAATGTATAGGTTGAAAAAATAATAATAAAGAAAGTATAGAAGTGTATTTTTTTTAAACTTATTAATTAACTGCACATGCCAGCAATTGGCTTTACAGATCTAAAACATTATAACGCATATAAAATAATATACCCACAATGGGAATGATATTGCGTCATGAAAATAGTGTTTTCGAGTCTGGGTGTTTTTTATATGTGTATAATATTTATTTATTTACAGAACAAAAGTTTGTTTATCTGTTATCTAGTACCTAGAGTACAAGCTTTGCTTAGTGTAGGGCTATAGCGAGCGTTGTGTAAAAATGTTTCCTTAAATATTTATTAATTTATGTAGACAGACCCAAAAATAATTATAATCGTTTAGCATTAACAAAAAAGAACATCAAATTTGGTTTTTTGTGTTATGTGGCTACATAACAAATACCATTGGCATACATATATGATGGTGAAATACGAAAACTACCTACGATAAAACTTAAACTTATTTCAATATTATATCACCCATTTTGTATATTATACTAAAAGCATTACTTAGAGATATATGTGCTTTGAATAATATACAGTAAAGTCGAAAAATAAAGCATAATTTGACTTCTGAAATAGAGTAAATAATAGTATTTTTTTTTAATTTCAGTGTTATTTCAGATGACAGATCATAGTTTATATTTGATTATTTGCTGTTTTCAAATTTTCTTGGTACCCGACAATTTTTTCTTATATACCCAAATATATAATTTGACGTCAATTGCTAGAATACTCTGACCTTTTGCATAGTTGTTGCAACAATGCTTTTTGTCTTTGAAAGCAAAGTTCCTCCGATCTAATTTTTATGATGATAGACGTCCTTGAAATTTTAAGCTCCTTGTGACTAATTTTAACTGTTGACCAATTATGAAAAAAAGTTAGATTTTTATAATTTCGATTTTTATATATTTTTTTTATTGAAACTTAAATAACATTGACCTAATATAATGATTAATTGCCCAATTGTGAACAGAAATTGTGACCCGAATCGTTAAATGAAATAATTTTAGATACGATCTCTAGGATTAATTTGAGCCTCCAAATTTTTTACCATGTCCTTGAAATATTTTACGCTCTCTAGTTAATGTCAAAGTTATGATCAATTGTTTATAATCACTGACCAATTCGAATCACTTTTTTAGAGTTTAAACTTCATAATTTGGGACGCTTATTATATGGGGCCTGAGGTGGATCAGTTCCTAAGATATTGGTCCCGCCTTGACGTGGCGAAGGGGCTTAGTAGCCGTGGCTTGGTCACCCATGGTGAAGCTAAAAGGAACCTCCACTGGGCTAGTCCGTGGAGTAAGGCCGGCCCGAGAGGGACACTGGGGACAGGTCGAGGGTGGTAGAGGAGGATCCACTCTTCTGCTATCGAGGAGAAGTTGTGGGGCAAGAGGAGTGACGGCATTGCGATGCGCCATTCTCCCTACCCGCCGCGGCCGAAACGTGGTGAGCAGCGGAGCCACAGACCAGGCCCGCCGCTGGGGGCTGGAAGGCTTGCTGCTTTTTAGCACTGGCCCTCCTGGCTCCAATGGCCTCTGGTCAGCGGCATGTAGTCAGCGAACTCGGGGAGTACGTTGGCCGTGAAAAAAGGGAATGAGTAGGAAGGATACCTGGAGGAGAGGGGGATTGCTCCCCGAGATGGGGTTGTTGAGGCGGCCAGCGCTGGTAAAGTTGCGGAAGTTTATAATCCACTCTTGCCCCCGCGAGAGCGGGTATGCGTAGGAATTTCCCCCACGTTAACAAAAAAAGGCTGGTAGACGGTCGTAAAAATGTGACTGTGTATGTTAATAATTTAATTTATTATTAATGTAGAGCCGTGATAGCTCAGTGTCCGGGTGCTCGCCTTTAATTCAATATACTCGAGCAACCTGAGTTCGATCCCCGGTGCCGGCACCAATGAAGTTTTTAACTTTAAGTGCTGACTTATGGCGTGCTCCGCGGTGAAGGAAAACATCGTGAGGAAACCTGCACATTTTCGAAATAAAAAAAAAAATATTTCGAAAATATGTGAAGTCCGCCAATCCGCAGTGGGGCCGCGTGGTGGACTATGCCCTGATACCCTCTGTATAGAGGAGGCCTTTGCCCAGCAGTGGGACATGTATAGGCTGTTACTTTACTTTTTTTTAATGTATTGATCAATAATATACTTGCCATTGCTGATATTCTTCAACACCAAGAAGGAACAATCCCATACGCAAAAGCTTTGGCATTATAGTAAAGTTCGATTATTCTCATGATGGCTTTGTAAAAACGGCCATTCGAATCCATTTAACAATGCTTTTGTTGACAACGTTTATGGATTCCGCAGCTGTGATAGCCTTCAGCGGGCTATCATTCCGCAGACCGATACAATAACAATACGGGGATCGTTTTGTTACGTTACGATTCGATACGAAGCGATTACTGTTACACCTTCATTGTCATTCATTGCTACTGCGTGTTTATTAGGAAAGCGGCCATTTCGGGCATGGAAGAGATCGTTATTGGTATCACGTTTACGATATACGACCCGCTTTAAAACGTTGGAGAAAATGATCATCCACAAGGTTTTAAAGGAGCTTGTAAAAGTATTAATGTTTGTAAGTAAGTCATAGTCCTCATGTTTGATTAATATGTAATTTCATTAGGCTTGAGCTGATTTAAATGACAAAATTTTAATACCGTTTTATTCGTTTCAACGTCTAAATGAAATTTTTTATTTAATTTGTCTTAAGTGCCTTTTCAAAAATTTAAAACTTGAGAATATTAAGTTTAAATTACCTCACGGCTCATTATAGACTTCATTTAATGTTTAATTCTAAAGATTGAATAACCAACCACTCGAATTTTATGGAAAGCGCTGAATAAAATATCGTACAATGTTACATGGATAGTCGCCGCATACTCAAGCTACGCTTACAATATTTTTATGCTCAACCTATTTCTAGACTATAAATAAAGTCAACATTGTTGAGAGCGCTGTGTTACACCGACTGTGACTAATGCACATGTAAGTAGCAATTGAGAAGAAGATATTATGTATGCACTGCGTATCATTTTATTGTGTTATTTTCTTCAAAGGATTTCGAAATCAAATGGGTAAATTATAGTTGATTAAAAAATCTAAATAGAAGAAATGTCTTATATAATTTATCAAAACGAAATAAGGAAGCAGAGAAAAATCGTTTGATCATGCACAACACACAGAGTTGCGCCACAAGTAAGGGATCTTGGATGACGCAATAGAGGATCCTAATTGGTCTTAGATGGCTCACTGTACCTAACTGCCAATTAAGATAGATTACTTGCGTATAATCTGGGGGCCTTACGTTTGTTTTAGTGGAAGTCTCTATTGCTAATAGACGTTTTGTTGGGTCCTGTGACGTATTTATCTGTATTTTACGACTGTGTCGTAATGTCGTAAATTAAACTAAAGAATATAACGTTTTTGAAGAAATGCAAACTTTTGCGGAACCTCCACCCGATTGGCGTATTCCTGGGTGGTTTCAGTTTTACAAAAAGATTCATTACAATCAGATGAGAACACAGAGGCAAGAAGATTGTTTCATTCATTTGTTGTATGCTTTAAGAATGTTAAAGTGAAACTGTCAGTAAAAAGAGATGGAGGCCTCCTAAGCGTCTTGTCTTTCGATCATTATCGAATATTCTAGAGTAATATTAATGTTTCCTATAAGA